ATTTATTATTACTATTAATGAATTAATTAATTAATAATAATCTAACAACTTATACCCACGATTCTCAATATTTCACAAATTCAACAAATAATCCAAAAATAATTTAATTAAATAATTAATTAAATCAACGGGTGTTACAGGGATATGTGATCCCTTATCTAATTCCCCTCCTATCTTGCATGTTTTTTTTAGAATTCACCATTTATGTTGAATCTTTAGGAAACAAAGGTGACAATAGTCATAATCTAGTTTGAGAATTTCTGAGGTATTCCCATTTCTTGCAATATACATTCTAAAGTATTCCAGTCTACAATATAATATGCCTTCTGTAAGTTAATTTGAATCATGCACCTTGGGATACCTCCCTTACTAATGTAGCCTTTAACAAGCTCATAAGCCAACATGATGTGGTTATGGATCTGTTGGCTTGGTATAAACGTTGCTTAGTTTTTGAGTTGATGATACTTCCAATAACTTGACTCAATCTAGCAGTCAAAACTCTTGAAATATTTTTTTAAATAGTGGTGCATACAGAGATTAGTATAAAATCATTAATGTATTTAGCTTCATCATTTTTGGGGACAACTGAAGGCTTTATAAAGTCTACCATGTTCAAAAAAATCTTGAACAAATGCTACCACATCATTCTTGACAATGTTCCAACTTTACTTAAAGAAACAAGCCTCATAGCCATCTAGCCCAGGTGTTTTCAAATTATTAGTGCCTTTTAAAGCATTATAGACTTCTTCTTCAATGACAGGCTTCACAAGATTCTCTCTTTGCACTTGTTAAGTTGAGATCCTCCTCTCATACCCCCAACATATATGCCTCTCAAAGTGCTCTCATGTTTTCCATGAGGTTACCATAGTAATATAGATTTTCCTCCTCTATGTCATCTTGACTTGTTATACTAGTGCCATCCTCCCTATACAAAACCATCATACTACTAGCATTCGTTCTAGCCTTTACAAAGGCATGGAAGAAAGAATTGTTCCCATCCCCCATTTTTTTACCACTCAAGTTTAGCTCTATCTTAGCATATCCTCATCAATTTCATTCCATTTAACAAGCTCTTCAGTGCACCTTTTGACCTCTTCAATTTTCTTCATGTTCATTCTATAAGTGGTAAGGACATTTCAAGCTCAAAACTAGCTTTAGCAATGTGTTACTTCACATAAGTCAGAGTTTTACTAAGCTTCTTTAATATAGGCTGCAGTCTCTTCAACTTATTCCATAGCACATACAAAGGCCTACCTTCCAAAGGTTCCTCCCAACTTTTAGAGATAGTGTCATCATATCCTTGTAATTTAGTAGCACGGTTTATAAATTTAAAATTAGGCTTCTTATACTTCTTTTGAGACTGATCAATAATGTAAAGAAGTGCATGATCTAATACATTAGGAGGGAGAATTTTCAGTGCAATGTTAGATTGGACTTGAAATTACTCCACATTCCCCAAGACCCTGTCAATCCTTGAATAAATAGTTCCCTCATTATGCTTGTTAGACCAAGTATATAATCTCCTATGTTATCCATTTCAAATAAGCCTTTTATGTCCATCGTCTCTTGCAAATCAATATATTCAGACTCAGGAACAACAATACCACCAATTCTATCTTGTGCTTTGAGAACATTGTTAAAGTCACCAATGAGACACCAAGCCCCGTGTTGTTGAATTCTATCAATGTCCTTCCATAATATCCTTCTTTGATCTAATTTATTCAGAGTATATATGTTAGTCATCAAAAACTTGAACTACCCATTGATATCAAAGACTTCACAATGAAACATTTGGCTAATACCCCTAATGACTTTGAGATCAACTTTTTTGAGGGTTCCATTGAATCAAGATCCTACCATTCTCATGACATTGATAGTTGGCTACATACATGCCACTAATATTGAGATTATTCCTAACTACCATAGCTTTATCGACTTTTACTCTAGTTTCAATCAAAATATTAATAGTAGACTTAAGTTCTAAGAGACGAGATCTAATCTCCCTGAGCTTGCGTGATTTATTAAGCCCCTGAATATTCCAAGCAGCTATCATTGACTTGTGTTTTGGAGCACTAGGAGGTCATTCAATACCCCTAGAACATCATAACCATTCTCACATGGAATATCCTTTGATGAAGTTTCAATCATAATCCCCTTTTCCCTGTCTCGGCCATTGTTACTAATGGTTTTCCATCCCTCATTTCCTTCTTGTATGTTGGCAATTTTGCTCCTTTCAATATCAGATGAGCTAGTAGATTTGGTGATATCTTTGGTAACAATTGGAGGGATGACTCTCTTCTTGGGGTTTTGGCTTTGGCCTCCATTGCATCTCCTTAGGTTTGGTATTCTCATATTTATGCCCAGGTTTTTGACACTTCTCATAGTAAACCGGCTTCCATTCATATTCCACCACCTGCTTTATCTTCATTCCTTCATTGTCTTTTATAGTGATTTCCTTTGGTAAATCTTTAGTGATATCAATTTCCACCAATATCCTCGCATAGACACACGAAGTTTATTGGCATTACACTCATCAGTCACCACAAGATTTCCCAATGCACTTCCAATATTGCTAAGACTCTTTGCTCCCCAAAGGTACAAGTGAAGTTGGCGAAGCAGGTAATTCTTCAAGTTGAAATCAGGCCCCATTCACGAAGTAACATGTGCATGTTTCTTATGGTATAAGGCCCCTCCATCATAACCCCGTCTCTTTCTTTGAAGGATTTAAACTTGGGTAGAAAGTAACATTCCTCATGGTAGTACATGTTTGGAAATTGTACAAAGTTCCATGCCTTCATCATAAATTGCTTCACCGTGTTCATGCTTAAATCTCCTCAAAGAACATACATTATCAGAGATGATTCCCAGAACTTGACCTCTGAGATGATATCTTCAATTGCAATCTTTACCTCAATTTCTCCATTGATAATAGTTGGTGCAATAAATTCCATCGCCACGCCTTTCGTTGGATTCCTGTTTTTGTTTAACACATCGACCCATAGTTTTCTAATTTCCTTTGGTTCCTCTTCGTTCTTTGTAGTTAGGGTTTCATCGCTATCTTCCTTCTCATCCCCTAATGACCTATCAGATGTACTAATGCTTGCTTCATCGGTGTAGGTCTCAGTTTCTTCATGACTTTACGTTGATGATTGCTTCGTTAGAGTGCTACGATTATTTGCCAACGGTGGCACCAGTTTTCTTAGCCGCCCTCGTCCCATCTCTTCTATTTTTCTATTTTGTTTATATTACTTATGTGAAATCCGACAGGTTAAATAAAACAAAAAACATTGCGATGGTCCATGCGGATGTAGAAGAATTTACTTGTATTAAAAAAGTCATGTTAGTAGTATATATACATGCCATTATTTTAGTAAAAGTGATGATATTTGATATCTATTTTCTTTAATATTTTTTATAGAACGATATAAAATTCAAAAATGAAATTTATTAGTTTAAAAATATCAAAATCAAAATCTTTAATTTTCTTCTTTTTCCTTATTTAGAAATAAAATCTTCGTCATTAGTTAGATTGAAAACCCAAAAGATCAATAAAAATATTATAAATAAGTATTTTCTATCTTAGAATGAATTTCTCAAATCATGAAACTGAGTTTTTATTTTTTCACGGAGGTTTGGTATTGATGCAACCAAAAAAAAACGCCTCCACAAACTTCCATTGCATTTCAAAAACATTGTAACAACTAGAGATGAAGTAAGAAATTCTTTTTATGAGCCGTCATTCAAAATAAAAGTAAATTTAAATTCTTCCGATTCAAACCCAAATGAAAGATAAAAATTCAGAATAATTATTAATGGAGGAGTAAAATCGTAGTTTTTAAAATGACCTGACAAAAAAGTTAATTTCATTAAAATAAGGGATATAAAAGAATATTAAAACATTAATTTTATATGTAAAAGTATAATATGTTTTATCAAATAATTATTACTTAATGTTATTTGGAAATATGACTTATTTAAATTCAAATTAGAATAATAAATAGTAAAAACTATTTTCTTCATCTCAAAAATTAAGATCTCCTTGAATAAATCACGAGAATTATCAAAATTAATTTTAATTTTAAGTTTGACGATACTCAATAACTTTAGCCATCTTAATCTTGAGAGAGAAAAGTAGTTAATATTATTATTTTGTGGAAAGGACATGTGTCTCTATCATCTATTATGAGTGTTATTTTTACCATGGCGACGAACATTAAATTTATATCATCGCAAATTACATCAAAAAGATGCATATGGCATGTCACGATTAAATGTTTCTAATTGAATAAAGATATTAAGTGGTTTGGTCAAGAGAGACCCACATTAAAAAATATGTTATAATCCATATGGAAACTAATTGTGACATATAAAATACATATTGACCAAATATCCACATACACCTCAAAAGGAACTACAATAATTCAACGCCCAAAAAGACGACGGTCTATTTTAATTTACCTTAAGAACTATCTTATGATGATTCTAATTAACTCCTATTATTACGTATAACAAAAAAAAAACAGAATTTTCATAATCTCTTGACTGTTTTTAACGGAGTTCAAGAACCCTCTAATCCTAACAATTTATCAAATAATTACAAAAACCAGAAAAACAATAGTCCTGCATCGGTTAAAATACCAATTCAGCCCTGTATTAAATTAATAAAATCAAGCTAGAAAAACCACATGTTCAAGAAGATAGCCCTGCAAACTGTCATAACAAAAAAACTGAAACATAATTTTAACAAAATTCAAGCCTCTTCATAACTAACTCCCTAACTAACTCTAACAAATTCCTAGTTAACTTATAATAGCTCCATAACAAACTCAAACAGAATTTATAACTTCTCCAACTAACTTTTAACTTCCTAACTAATTAACCTGTCATTACTAACTACTTAATCGATTTTCACTATTAAAGCAGTCTCTAACAGAACTTTGTTCACACTATAACTGACATCAAATTCCACCGTCGATCAGATAACAAACTCCCTCAATCCAATGGAAAAGCTCTCAAGCTGTAACCAACTTCATAACCGTTTTCATTCACAACTTCCTCTATATAATAGAAATTCAGAGATTCAGGAGGGGGATTCACATCTCAAAGATATAATTATACACAATCATTATCCATTCACATTTGATTATTCAGAACCTCACAGAAAAATCCCAGAGAAAAATCAATTATAGAACTCACCAAAAATCATTATTCTCTCTATTCCCTCAACCATTCTCTGCAAAACTCATAACCTTTCATCATCATCTTCTTCAGGCATCTCTATACTCTCTTCAACCGATTCACGCATCTTCATTCCTCTGCAATTCTTCATCATCTCCCCTTATTCATTCTCCTCTCCACAACCTTCAATCATCTTTTGCAACCTCACACATCTTGATCACCATCATCACTCTGCATCAACTGGCCTCAGAACCGCAGAGCATTCATTCATCATCTCCGTCGGCACCATCAAACTCTCTCAACTTTCTCTTCATCAATCTTCGTCATCTTGCTACATCATCTTCATCAACGAAGATATACGCTTGTAATCATCACTGTAGTGCATTAGCATCCTTATCTTCTTCACAAGATCAACACCACCAAAACTTCAACAAGCCTTCAATCTTCGAAGCACATCACCACCACCATCACCATAATCTTGAATCCTCATCAACAACGGTCGCTGCAAGAACGAAAATAAGGAAACAGTAGAAGACGCGGAGAACCGGATCGACGATGTAAAGGAGGAAGAATCGAGATATGAAATATGATCGTACCTGAGAAGCGAAGATGGTGAAGTAAGTAGTTTGGTTGAATCGAAAACGATGCGTGAAAGGTCATGAATTAAGGCGGAATCAAAGTACGAAGACGGACACAGAGGTTACGAATTAGCGAACAGAAATCGGAACCATGGCAGACTTCGAATTGGCGGGGAAGAAAACGGTGATCGGAAAAGGGGTTTGCAACATCTGAGAGATCGAAGAAGAAATAAGAGAGAATTTCATGGCCACAGAATTTTGCGATGAAAGAGAAGAAGAAATCAGTTTCTGTTAATCCTAATCTCTTTTAAAACTGCATTGTTTCATCATTTTATCGTTCATACATATCTTGTTTTATTTGTTAATTATCATTAATTTTTTAATTCTTTTCAATTGTTGACAATAATAAAGCTTTCAACATGAGAGATTGGATGATGGACCGGACTTTACACCCTCCATAAGCCCATTGTACCATTTTTGAATAATTGAAGTTTGTGAACAAAAAACTCCTCATTAGGCTGAGTTTAATATTGGGCTTAGTGGCATTCTGACTGTTGCTTGCAGCATGCACCCTAATCCAGGCTTTGTACCTCCTGTTGCATTCATGTTCTATTTTCTTGTTAATTCATTTATTTCAATTTTTATTTTAGCAATTGTTTGTGTGATTTATTCATGATTTTGATTAATTTTCCACATGATAAAATGATGCAAAATAGTAGCATATTTTTTAGAATTCTTTAGGACTTTTCTTTAGAATTTTATTAGAACTTTCTATTATTTTATGTTTAACAATCATTTTCATTATCATTTTAGTCAAGATTTCATGATAGTAATGATGCAACTTTTATGATGGGGAATGCTTGGAGGTTAATTATTTGATCACTCGCACGGAGCAGTTTCTGTAGAGTTTTCTTATCGCTTGCGTGGCTCTAAAGAGGCAATGGACCTCCTCCGTTCGGTATTATTGTGACTTTGTTTTACTCCTCATTCTCGTACTTTACTGCTTTTCTAGAAATCAGGAGAAACAGGGCTTTATTGCAAGCTATGCATGCAAACATTAGGTAGCATTCCCTCAAAATTCTAACTTTAGGTCTAACAATGCATGATAAAATTAGGTTTAGAAACAGGCTAGTCTCCCTGTGAATTTTCTTCCCCTTTTGCATTTGCACTAAAATTAAAACTTCTTTTTCTTACAAACTTCAAAAAATACTTAAAAATTACTGACGAGAATCATGCCTTTGATAAGCGGGTCTCTTCTCGATCTTATTGTTTTTCCATTCTAAGCCTTGGCACGGTTCAAGTCTCAAAGACTCATTTCACGAATAAGTAGAGAAATGGCTAATATATCTCTCTTGAGATCAACTAGCTGTTATCTACAAGCAAAAACACCAACAAACACAAAACTCTTTTTGCCTTTGGGATTTTCTTTCAAAACCTTTTCAAAAGAATATATTAGTTCACTTATGTGCTGACGCGTAAGTCTCCAAAGGCCGAGTTGCGGCAGAAGGCGAAATTAATATCGTTCATTTAAAACACGAAACAATTCAAACCTTTTTGTGCGCCCAGGCACATTTCCTCCAAACTTTTTCAAAAGAGCATGTTAATTCACTTCTGTGCTGACGCGTAAGTCTCCAAAGGTCGAGTTGTAACAGAAGGAGAAATTAATATTGTTCATTAAAAAAATACAAACCAACAAAAACATATAATTCGAACTACGGCTGCTCTGATTCCTTGAAAGGGATACGTAGGCATCGGGGTAGGGCCCGAACGAGAACAACTTTTATTTTCCCTACATTCTTTTCTCTGTTATTTTGCATGCATTCCCTTCAGTAGTATAGTAAACAGTAAGCGTAGATTAAACATACCCATAAGATAGACAACAATAGTGGATATCATAGAGTACTACGGGTGTGCGGGGTGCTAATACCTTCCCCTCGTGTAACATACTCCCTTACCCGATCTCTCAGTCGCAAGACCGTGACTTCTCCCTTCTTAGGTTTTCTCGATGTTTACCTTTCCCTTCCTGTGGGATAAAAGACGTTCGATGGCAACTTCATTGTTTGATGATTTCCAGCCGGTTGTTTTAGACGGACCTGAACAAGGATCCCGATGGACCCCGTTCTTTGATGGGACATCCAACGCACTTGGAAATGGTATCGATGTTGTACTCATATCTCCGGAAGGGTGTCATACTCCCTTTACAGCAAGACTCTGCTTAAATTGTACAAACAACATGGCAGAATATGAAGCATGCATCTTTGGTCTCAGAGCTACCATAGACTTGGGGATCAAATCCTTGGATGTATTCGGAGATTCAGCTTTGGTTATCAGTAAGATCAAAGGGGAACGGGACACCAAACACCCTAACCTTATCCCTTATAAAGAACATGTTTTGACATTGCTACCATATTTTGAGAAGATTACCTTCGAGAATTTCCCGCGAGAAGAAAATCAGCTAGCAGATGCACTAGCCACAATGTGATCGATGTTTAAACTTAAATGGGATAACGAGGCTCCTCGAATCAACATCAAACGAATGGATGAACCGACACACTGTCACGAGATTAATACTGAAGAAGTAGTGGAGCAGCCTTGGTTCCACGAAGTAAAGAGTTATCTCGAGGCTCAAGAATATCCAGAAGGAGCTTCAGTCAATGATAAGAAGTTCTTAAGAAGATTCTTTGCTAATTTCTTCCTTAGTAATGGAATTCTTTACAAACGCAACCATGACTTTGTGTTACTTCGGTGCATAGACAAGGTTGAAGCCGAAAGGATCATGGCTGAGTTACATGAAGGCACTTTTGGCACCCATTCCAGTGGGCATACGATGGCAAAGAAAATCCTACGGGCAGGCTATTACTGGTCTACCATGGAAGCAGATTGCTATCGACACTCTCGAACCTGCCATAAGTGTCAGATTTATGCTGACAAGGTGCACGTACCTCCGGTTCCTATGAATGTCTTGACGGCTCCTAGGCCCTTTGCTATGCGGGGGATTGAAATGATTGGAGAAATCAAGCCAACAACCTCTAATGGACACTGCTTCATCTTAGTGGCCATTGACTATTTTACCAAGTGGGTGGAGGCAGCTTCTTTCGCTTCCGTTACCAAGAATGTTGTTGTCCGTTTCATCAAGCAAAATCTCATTTGTTGGTACGATATCTCAGAGAGGATCATCACTGACAATGGTACAAATCTCAATAACACTATGATCACCGCCTTGTGCGAACAATTCAAGATTCAGCATCACAACTCTTCTCCTTACCGGCCAAAGATGAATGGTGCTGTCAAAGCTACAAATAAGAACATTAAAAAGATCATACAAAAAATGATAGTCACATACAAAGACTGCCATGAGATGCTACCATTCGCTCTCCACGGGTATCGTACCACAGCTCGCACATCAACTGGGGCAACACCCTATTCTCTGGTTTACGACATGGAGGTTGTCTTTCCTATCAAGGTCCAGATCCCCTCTCTGAGGATTATCAATGATGCAGGGCTAAACGAAGACGATTGGATCCAGACTTGACTTGATCAATTGAACTTGATTGATGAGAAAAGACTTACTGCTGTCTACCATGGTCAAATGTATCAAAAACGGATGATCAAGGTTTTCAATAAAAAGGTCAGATGCCAAGTGTATCAAGTTGGGGATCTGGTAATCAAACGTATCATACTACCGCAAGGTGATCCCAGGGGAAAATAGACCCCTACATACGAAGGACCATTTGTAATAAAAAATATATTCTCTGGTGGAGCAAGGATCTTGACTACCATGGATGGTGATGACCTGTCACACCCTGCGAATGCTGACATAGTCAAAAGATACTACGCATAAGAGACCCGCTAGGTTGACACACCTAGGAAAAACAAGGGTATCCCGACGAATCAAAAGAGGTTTGGGCAAAAATTATGGATAAAACAAAAAAAAATCTGCACACCCGGCAAGTTGAAAACCCGAAAGGGAGACTTGGGAAAAAAAGGGTTTCCCGATGGACAAAAAACCCGAAAGGGCGGTCCAGGCAAAAGTTAGGGAATTAAAGCGTATGACTATGTCCCGTTGGATCACCTTACGGACAACCTAGAAACTCAGAGGTTCTGATTAATTCGATCATCTTTGGACGAGGCAACAAATAGACAAGATGCTCAGAGATACAAAGGCTATAGCAGAATGGGAACCCCATGGGATTATTGCACATAGCTATCTTTTTCTTTGAATTAAAATTTTCAATTTTTACGACGGCATTCTCTTACTAGAATGTTTGTCTCATTGTACAAAAATACTTACTCAAAGTCAATATAAAGATATCCCTTTGAAAGTGCAAAAACTATCTGTTTTTCTTTACGCTTGTGTTTTGTTTACAAAAACGTCCAATGATTCATTGTTGGACATATGCATTTGAACATAATTACTGTTTACAAATTAAAAAAATAAAAGACAATTACTAATGGCTTTAAGAGGTAGGGAAATCTCTCTAAGCTATTTCCATAAATCCCCTACAATTTGCAGTTTAATTCCCAGCGGAACAAGCTTCCAATTATCAATCCCCAGTAGAAGTCGTTCAATTTCTCAGGATTTCACAACAGGATTTTACAAGCAGTACACGACATTTCCCTTACAACAAAGCTTGTTTCTCTAAGCAGAAATTCATCAACACTTCAACTTCACAACATGAAGACTTACACTCTGTATCCTCAGCAACGGTCAGGGATTTATTTTCCCCAGTCCAACAGCAGTGTAGCAAACTAGCTCACATACGCATACATTGTGTGATACGGTGGGAGAACTGACTTGGATTTTGCGTTTGTGTTCGCAAATGTTTCGGTTTAGCAAGAGTCGCCACCGACTTTTTATTTTATCCAAAGGAAAGGTCAAAAAGCACAGGAAAGACCTTTGAGATGTTTTCTTGGGTTCGGGGAGTAGATTATGAAAAGGGAAGGTGCAAGCAC